CACCAGGTCTCTCTGCTCCTGCATGTGAGCCTGGAGGACCCGCAGCACCACCGGCAGCAGGATGCACCGCGACTCTGCAACACACACACACACACACACACACACACACACACACACACACTTTATCTCTCAGCCCCTCTCCTGTGTAAAACCAGTTTTAACAGGCTTCACTGCGCTGCAGCAAGAAATAAACAACAGGCTGCTGTGAAAAAAAAATACCAGATTATAAGGGAATTCTGTGTTCTTTTTACTACAATAAACAATAATAACCATAACATCACACAGACATTGTGATGAGTGTGAGATAAACGTCGTGCAGTAAAGTGCAGGATCCTTTTTAATTTGTACTATTACATTTTAAATTGTCACTGTTTAGGTTTATTTGTATTTCTAAGTTTTTGTAATGCTGCTGTAACCAAACTGTTTCCCACTTTGGGAGCAGCACATGTAATATAATGTTATCTAATCATATTTAACTCAAAAGAACGACTATGTACTGCTCCCCCTGATATTAGAAGAAGCATCCAAACCTCGATGCGCTTATATTTTGAAAGTAACCGGAAGTCGTCTCCCCGCTCGCTTGTTGTGGAGGGAAGCTGTTAGCATCGTTAGCTCCGTTAGCTCGGTGTGTTTGAGAGAGAGTTTACTGAAGTTTTTTCTTGTCATATATCATCTCCATCATGGCGTACCAGCTGTACAGAAACACCACTCTGGGAAACAGTCTCCAGGAGAGTCTGGACGAGCTCATTCAGGTGAGAAGAGCAACGTTTATTAGCACGACTGTTAGCTCGCAGCAGCTAGCCTCAGTTAGCATGACGATCCATCATAAAAAGGTTTCCTTCGCAGCTGAAAATAAACGTATCATTCAAAAGTATTATAATAAAGATAATAATAACCTCTCCTTTTCAGTTCCATTAAGAGTTTAAGGAACCCAGTCTTGATCCTCATATTCAGTTTAGGTTTAAATAAATGCCCCTTTTGTGAATCAGATATTAAACACTAGAATATCTTTTATTTTCTTGACTGTAGTTTAGCAAACATTTTGGGATGCTTTCCAGTATTTGGTGATCTTACAATGAGCAACACATGTCGGTGTTAACAGAGATATACAAGTCTTCAATTTGAAAACACACAAAAACGCAGAATTTGTAATTAATTATGTGATTATTTTAGCAAAAAAGTTCACTTTGTCGAGTGAAAGTATGCTAGGTTATGGTCACAGAGTGTTGTCGAGTGTACATATATATATATATTACAGGCTATGTTAAATATTACCAGCAGAAATAAGAAGACAGTAGCCTTAAAAAAAAGTGTGTTTGGCAGCATTTACCTTTTTTTATTTAACTCATACTGAGCGACCAATCCTCTGAGTTTTATTCTTTATAATCAGAATTAGGAGGTTTTCAGAAAAAGGCTCAGAAATGTGAGTCAGAAAGGAGAGGTTTTCAGAAAAGTCTATATTTTGAGATTTTCTGAAAAAAAGCTAAATTCTTAGTTATTTAAAAAAAAAAAAAAAGTCAAATCTTTGAGAAAAATGTAAGAATTTTGATATCTTAAATCTTATCAAAGTATGTGTCTATATGTCTCTGTGTGTCTCTCTCTCTCTCTCTCTCTCTCTCTCTCTCTCTGTGTGTGTGTGTAGACTCAACAGATCACTCCTCAGCTCGCTCTCCAGGTTCTCCTTCAGTTTGATAAAGCGATCAACACGGCGCTCGCCAACCGCGTCCGAAACAGAGTGAACTTCAGGGTGAGTCCACTTCCTCTGACCTCTGACCTCTGATCTGACCTCGAGCATGAAGTCTCTATACACGGCTCATTTAGATGAGGTTAATAATGATATGTTCCTCTCTAAGGGTTTTCTGAACATTTACCGGTTCTCTGTGGTTCTGTGATATTCTCTGAGTATGTCTGATGTTCTGTGTTGTTCTCTAAGGACTTATAATGTTCTATGAGGTTCTGTGTGCCGGTTGTGTTCCTCTCTCTCAAGGTTTTCTGAACACGTATCAGTTTTGTGTGGTTCCCTAATGTTCTGTGTGTTTCCCTGATGTTCTGTGTGGTTCCCTGATGTTCTGTGTGGTTCCCTGATGTTCTGTGTGTTTCCCTGATGTTCTGTGTGGTTCCCTGATGTTCTGTTTGGTTCCCTGATGTTCTGTGTGTTTCCCTGATGTTCTGTGTGTTTCCCTGATGTTCTGTGTGGTTCCCTGATGTTCTGTGTGTTTCTGTGTGTTTCCCTGATGTTCTGTGTGTTTCCCTGATGTTCTGTGTTTCCCTGATGTTTTGTGTGTTTCCCTGATGTTCTGTGTGGTTCCCTGATGTTCTGTGTGTTTCCCTGATGTTCTGTGTGTTTCCCTGATGTTCTGTGTGGTTCCCTGATGTTCTGTGTGTTTCCTTGATGTTCTGTGTGTTTCCCTGATGTTCTGTGTGGTTCCCTGATGTTCTGTGTGTTTCCTTGATGTTCTGTGTGTTTCCCTGATGTCCTGTGTGGTTCCCTGATGTTCTGTTTGGTTCCCTGATGTCCTGTGTGGTTCCCTGATGTTCTGTTTGGTTCCCTGATGTCCTGTGTGGTTCCCTGATGTTCTGTGTGTTTCCCTGGTGTTCTGTTTGGTTCCCTGATGTCCTGTGTGGTTCCCTGATGTTCTGTGTGTTTCCCTGGTGTTCTGTGTGGTTCCCTGATGTTCTTTGTGTTTCTGTGTGTTTCCCTGATGTTCTGTGTGTTTCCCTGATGTTCTGTGTGTTCCTGTGTGGTTCCCTGATGTTCTGTGTGGTTCCCTGATGTTTTGTGTGGTTCCCTGATGTTCTGTGTGGTTCCCTGATGTTCTGTGTGGTTCCCTGATGTTCTGTGTGTTTCTGTGTGTTTCCCTGATGTTCTGTGTGTTTCCCTGATGTTCTGTGTGTTTCCCTGATGTTCTGTGTGGTTCCCTGATGTTCTGTGTGTTTCC